ACCCCTACTAAGGGCATTGGTGGTGCCTGAGGGCAGGCTTACCCAACCCAGCTCCGCCCAGAACAAGAGCTGATAACAGGACACAAAAACAACAGCATAGCATGTTCCTCAAAGCAAGCGCCACCTACTGACAGGGACGGCATCCTGCACAGCCTTTTCATGGCACCCACTGACTCATTATACAGGGAGTGGTCAAATCTCACCCACAGACACCACCTAACAGCTCCAAACTAACAAGGCGTATGAATACCCAAACAAAAACCTAAAGAAAGAAACAACAACTGGTCGATGGGAAGAATCAGCGAAGGAACTCAGGAATATGAAGAACCAAATGGAAAACACACCCCAAAGAGGAGCACCAGCCTAGAAACGGACACCAACCCAAATCAGGCAACCAAAATGACAGAAGAGGAATTTCGTATGTGGATCATAAGAACACTCACCGACCTGCAACAACAACTCAATAACCAACACAAGAAACCACAAAGCCTCCAGGACCTAGAACAAAAGTTCACTAAAGAAATAGACACAATGAAGAAAAGTTTAACCGAACTCCTAGAAATGAAGAATCAATTCAGAGAACTACAAAATACAGTGGAAAGTCTCAAGAACAGGGTAGATCAAACAGAAGAAAGAATCTCAGAGCTTGAAGATAACACCCTCCAACTAAATAAAACCGTCACAGAGAAACAAGAGAAAAGAGCAAAGTCTACAAGAGATGTGGGATTATGTGAAGAAACCTAATGTGAGAGTCATAGGGTTACCAGAAGGGGAAGAAGACAACACTCAAGATTGGACAAGCTATTTGAAGAATATAATAGAGGAAATTTCCCAGGCCTGCTCAAATCTCGATATACAAGTTCAAGAAGCTCAGAGGACCCTGGGAGATTCAATGCAAACAGGAAGACGTCACGACATGCAGTCATCAGACTGACCAAAGTATCAACTAAAGAGGCCCTTCTAAGAGCTGTAAGACAAAAGAAGCAAGTGACATACAAGGGAAAGCCAATTCGAATAACACCAGACTTCTCTAATGAGACTTTACAAGCAAGGAGAGACTGGGGCCCCATTCTCAGTCTTCTGAAACAAAACAATGCCCACCCTAGAATCTTATTCCCTGCAAAACTAAGCTTCATATATGAAGAAGAAATAAAGACATTCTCAGACAAGCAAAGTCTCAGAGAATTCACCAAGACAAGACCAGCCCTACAAGAAGTACTCAAAACAGTGCTACGCACGGAACACCATAATAAAAACTCATGAATGTAAAAACAATCAAACCCCAAGATTAAAGGCCAGATAATACAATGGCTCAAGAAAGAAATCAAAGCAACAACATCCAACCCAACAGAATGAACAGTAATCTACCTTACCTATCAGTTCTCTCAATAAATGTGAATGGCTTAAACTCTCCACTCAAGAGACATAGGCTGGCTGAATGGATAAGAAAATACAGGCCAAGTATATGCTGTCTTCAGGAAACACATCTAACCTGCAAGGATGCATATAGACTAAAAGTAAAAGGGTGGAGATCAGTATTCCAGGCAAGTGGAAGCCAAAAGAAGGCTGGCGTGGCAGTTCTAATTTCAGACGATTTAGTTTTTAAAGCAACAAAAGTAGTGAAAGCAAAGCATTATATATATGGTGAAGGGCACACTTCAACAAGAGAGATAACTATTTTAAATATATATGCACCCAACTTAGGTGCACCCAGTTTCATAAAGCAAACCTTACTGGATCTAAGCAAAAGGATTAATAGCAACTCCATAATCACCGGAGATTTCAACACCCCACTGACGGATGAGACAGATCCTCCAAACGAAAATTAATAAAGAATAATGGACTTAAACAAAACCCTGGAACAACTGGGTCTGACTGACATCTACAGGACATTCTACCCAAAATCCACTGAATATACGTTCTTCTCATCAGCTCACGGGACATTCTCTAAGATTGACCATATCCTAGGACACAAAGTAAATCTCAAGAAATTTAAAAAATAGAAATCATACCATGTACCTTCTCAGATCACAGTGGAATAAGAGTAGAAATCAACCCTAACAGAAACTCACATTTCTACACAAAAACGTGGAAATTAAACAATCTCCTACTAAATGATTACTTCATAAATGAAGAAATCAAGATGGAAATAAAAATTCTATACTCCTACATGCTGGTGGGACTGCAAATTAGTTCAACTCTGTGGAAAGCAATATGAGATACTTTAAAGCGATACAAGTGAATTACCATTTGATCTAGCAATCCCATTGCTGGGCATCTACCAAAAGATCCAATGACACTCTACAAAAAAGACACCTGCACTCGAATGTTTATAGCAGCACAATTCATAATTGCAAGGCTGTGGAAACAGCTCAAGTGCCCATCAATCCAAGAATGGATTAATAAAATGTGGTATATGTATATCATGAAGTACTATTCAGCTCTAAAAAACAATGGTGATATAGCACATCTTATATTTTCCTGGTTAGAGCTGGAACCCATACTATTAAGTGAAGTTTCCCAAGAATGGAAAAACAAGCACCACATATACTCACCAGCAAATTGGTATTAACTGAACAGCACCTAAGTGGACACATAGGTACTGCAGTAATAGGGTATTGCAGGGGGGAGAGCGGGTATATACTATATAATGAGTGAGATGTGCACCATCTGGGGATGTCATGCTGGAGACTCAGACTTGTGGGGAGGGGAAATGGCATTTATTGAAACCTTAAAATCTGTACCCCCATAATATGCCGAAATAAAAAAAATAATAATAATAAAAAATTTATCAACTTGCACACCTGCAGTTTATTTTATGTCAATTATGCCTCAATAAAGGGGTAATTTTTTAAAGAATAAAGTAAAAATCAGTAGGAAATATATGCCTTCCCTCAGGCATGTTTATGCTTTCAGAAATCTTCATGGGCTGCAACTGCCTCTCCCTCACTATCAAAATGCCTACAGAACCTTTCAAGATTATTTGATTATAATCTTTTAATCTTCAAGCAGTATATCTTGTGATTTCAAAACCATAGAATCTGTTGAAAATAAAATAGCATGCTTAAGGGGAAGACTATAGTAAATTTTCATAGAATCTCAGAATCATGGTACAGGAGGTAGATTCAAAGTCAGGGGCATAATCTCATGCCACAGTCATTTCTAGTTACCTATGTACCATGATTGAAGGTGGAGCTCTGCCTGTTCACCCCACTGTACTTGCCTGGGTGTTGACCCACAACAGCCACACCACCACTTCATTCCCTTACGGAGATTAAGAGTCTACTGTTCCCTTTTGGCATCCTTTTTTTACTCTTGAAAAATCTTGTACCACTTTCTACACTAGGTAAAATGTTTAGAATCACTTGGACTTATATCCTGAGATCAGTAGAGTAGGTAAATAATTACCTGTAGAGAAGTCAGACCTAGGGAGGGCCACAGATAAGAACACTCCCAGCTATTTAAGCTGATACAATGGAGGATAATTATGCTAACTTATCAACTAGGAAAATGTTATTATGATAGCAATAGCTACACTTAACTGAGGACTTACTCTGAGCCAGGCACTATGCTAAGCTATTTACAAGGATTAATTCATTTAATCCTCAACCACCTAGAAGTAGATCTAGTATTATCTCTAATAATTTAAGAAAACTCAGAGCTATTAAGCTTCCCAATATCACACAACTAGTAAAATGGCAGAACCACGCCAATCAATCAAAAAGGACACTGACCGTGGCCTTGGAGGCCCCAGGAATTCATCCTTTAGGTGAAAGATAATGGAAAGATGGGATCAGACATCCCAGGGAGGAGCTGGGGCAGCCTGGGCAGCAGAGGTACACCTGTAGGCCTTGGAGTAACAGTATCTATTATCAAGAAGTATCGAGATGCTTCACTATTTTAGCAAATTGTATAGACGTACAAGTATACCTTGCCCTGAGAATATGTAAGACTATTCTACTCCTGACTTGATTCCAGAAATCATGTTTTTAACCACACTCACCTCTCTCTGCCAACAATGAAACTCCACCCTTATCCCAATATCTTCCATCTTCAACCTACTATTCTACCCATATTTTCATGTCTGGGCCTACTTGGTATATCCCACTGACCATTCATAAAATTTTAATAAAATAACTTTTTTCTTTTTATAAGTACAACCGCCTTCTAGAAAGGGTGGATTCCTTTAAACAGAAGCCTTTTCAAAACTCCTGAGCATCTTGGTGATTTTGGCTAATCAAGGATCTGAAAATTACTGAACATCTACAAAGAAGAAACTGGAGTTCTCTGTGCCAATGTGGGGTGGAGGAGAAAATAGAAGATATGGAATATAGAAAGACTAGACAGGAACCATGGAGATACTGCAAGCCTGAGAGCTAGTCAGGACCTTTAGAAATTCTTCATTGGTGGGGTGATCAACTGTACATTTTAAGAAACTGAATATCTAATGTTCAGATTTAAAGGTGTTTGCATTGGTATGGTATAAAGTCCTCCCTCCTCTGCCTACCCCACCATCTTCACCAACTCCCTCACCAGAAAGCATGAGTAAAGCTTATTACATGCAGATTCTTTGAAGGATGGGAGTAGTGAAAGGTGAGAAAGGGCCCAAGTTTCATGTCTGGGTCTACTTGAGCATGACACCATATTTGTGGTTCACGTTACAGCTCCAGTGGATAGTGCTGGTATGGGCAACTCTTTTAAGAAGTTGTACTGTGAAGGGAAGGAAAAATATGGGGAGATAATAGAGGAGGAAATGGGGTGAAGACATGTTTTTAAAAATTTATTTAATAACTTGTTTTCGTAGGATAAATCATGAGAATAAAATGAGAGAAAGCATGTAATGAGCTTAGAACAATGTCTTGTACAAGTAAATCCTCAACTGTTAGCTCTCTCTCACTTTTCTGCCATTGTATGAGAAAGACAGAGAGAGAGAGAAAGGGTGGGATAGGTGAGCAAAGGAGGAGAAGAGGAGCAGGGAGAGAGATCGGGGGTCTCCTTACTCTCTTCGTGTCCTCTGAAGCATCTGCAGGTCCCGCCTCTGCTCCACCAGTTGGTTCAGGATGGCTTTCCTCTTGTGGCCAGCGGCTGTCTCCTGCTGGTGTTTCATACAATTCTGGTCTCGCTGTCGCCTTTCCACCAGGTGCTGACTCTCATTCTTACCAAAGATGGGTTCAGAGGAGTCTGGCTCAAACATAGGCAGCTTGGAGGGTTTGTTTCTCATCTGAAACAGGGACACACATAATGCAGATTATAATTCTCCCAGGGAGTAAACTTTATGCACAACTCTGTAATATAGTAAAATACTAATACCTTACAGGAAGGAACAAGGGGCTCAAAAACCACCAAGTGCAAAACACATAAGTGTATTCACAACTTGTCATTATCCATCCATATTCTTAGAATGCTATCAAAGCACTGTATAATTTTTTAAAATAACAATTATCCCTTTACCTGTGCATCCAAAGCTCTCTTGTAACACCGTGTTTCTTCTATCTTATCTTTTAAATATTTGGCTCTTTGCGCAGCAAGTCTGGCAGTAAGAAGAGGAGAAGGGGGAGCATAGCTTTACAGAGTCTTCAATAACACAGATTAACATCATCAAAACATGTTTAATAAGTATGAATAGGAATGGGATCCTGTTTCATTCTGAGAGCTTTCATTTTAAGAAAGAAAAGAGTAATTCAAATCCATAGGCTAATGAACAATGCGTTGAACACAGGACAGACAGCACAGGTATAAGCCAGTGACCAACCGTATTATCCAATTGCAGCACTACTAAAATGGCAGACGCCACCATCACCACCTCTCCACACCCTCCCACCACCAGTTCTTTTAAAAATCTGGGTAAGAAAGCAGGAAGTGACCATTCATTCCATAAACTGATTCTTTGTTAGATTTTTCAGTGATCTATCCTGTTATAAATTATGATTATGCAATCTCCAGAGAACCCATATGATCTGTCAATTGAGTATAATAGAACGTATATATATTTTATAGAAATAATCTTTTTTGGCTATAGAAACTAGTTTATTTGTTTTAGGAGTCTCTGGTCACACTATTGTAGCCTCCACAATTGCTCTCCTGACCTCAGTAGCAGAAATGTGGGCCCCCTTAGGTGTATATGAACTCCATGGCCCTGACTCTATCCCAGGCCTCAGGCAACACAATCGTGACCAAGCAGATTCACTCCTAAAACTTTGGAATTGAGACTAAACATTCTCTAAATTAGCGCTGGAATAAAGACGATGTCAACTAAGGAGTTATGGATGTAAGCAGAGGGAAGCTACTGTACATGGCTTCGTAGTCCCTGGTTCCAGTCTTTTCGAATACAGGGGTTCCCTGTATATTCCTCCTTCAAGTTCTGTGGGGCCCCCCTACATACTTATAATAAAGCCTTAGCTTTGCCATGAGGTCACCTAAACATCTAATAGTTGGGAATGATGCCTACTCAAGACAAATCCCTTCCTCTATCTACTAATATTACTGTGATTGCAAAACAATATAAAACAATACTCTATCATTATAGTAATTACACATTGGCAATCATTACTATAATGATAATTATAATGATGACAGCTTCATTTTTCTAATTAAAAGTTATGGTGAAGTATTGGCTGATAACTGGGTTAGTTTGCTCAGTTGGTCACAGTAGTACTAATAAAAACTACCAGTGCTGATTCAATCCTATGTGAAAATTAACTTCACATGAAAATCCATTTTTCAGAGCATGTCTAGCTGGACTCACTCCTCTGTGAGTTGCACTTGTTCTAGGCGGTCCATCAACTCTCTGTTTTGTCTTTGCTTTATTTCCTTTTCTCGTCTGGTATCCATTTGTTTCAGGAGACTTTGGGAATATTCTTCTTGCTTAAGAGCATTAAGCTCAGGACTGAGTGGCCGTTTATCAAATAGAAAGGATTTCTAGAATAAAAGAGAAGCAATTCATTTATGGTTGAATACCAAAAACAAAGTTAATAATTCAGAAGACTAAAATCAATCAGAAAGTATATCTTACTTATTAATATTTGCCCAGCACTCAATACGTTGACCAGCTAGTGTTGAGGTAACCTACAGAGTGTTATGAGTGTGTTCAAGGATGAACCTGAGCTGAATTGACCATAGCCTCATTTCCAAGACAGAGATGAAAAAATACTCCATGGAGTAGGTCCTGAGCTAGCACTTACAATGTCCAGATGGAAGGAAGAAGTGGTAGGTGCAACAGCATGAGCAAGGAGAGAGAAGAGGTGAAATGAGATGGAACTTAACACCTACTTGTGGGGCCCTGGCCACCCTAGACATGATGATCCAACAGTGACCAGGAACAAATCCTCGCTCTCATCAAGCCTACATTCTGGGTCAGGAGACAATGAACAAGTAAATAGTATATCAGATCATTAACTACAGTGATAAGTGCTATGAAGCCCTTATCATAGTAAGTGACTAGTAAGGAACAGGGCTAAATTAGTTGGTTATTAGGGAGATTTTTCCATGAAGATGATGAATCACCTACACTGTAACTATCAGATTGACCTGTGTCCCATACAGAAGGAACAGCAGATGCAAAGACACTAGACGGAAACAAGCTAGCTAGGCATATTCAATGAGCAGGGAAGAGATCTTTGGCTGAGGCATAGTGAGCAAGGGGAAGTATTAATAGAAATTGGTGAGCTCCAAGAGGAAGGCAGGGGCCAGAGCATCTAGGGTCTGGTAGGTCCAGGTGAGGAGTTTTGATTTAATTTTAATTTAGTGGGAGGCCATTACAGGCTTTAAATGAGAGAACGTATGTTTTGGTTAACTTTAAAAGATCACTTTGGCTGCTGTGTGGGGTATAGTTTGCAGGAGAGCAAGAATGCAAGCAGTGAGTCTACTTAGGCAGGAATTACAGAGGTTGAGCCTTATGATGTGGTTTGGACTAGAGTGGCAAAATTGAAGATGAAGAGATACAAACAGATTTTGGATACATTCTGGAGGTAAAGGCCACTTGCCTTGCAGATGGTTGGATGTGGAGGACAGAGAAAGAGGAATTTGGGATCGTGCCTAGATATGGGGTGTATGCAAGTTGCTGGCTGGTGAAGCCACTTACTAACACCACAGTTAACATCATCAGAAGACTAAGACTAAGGTTGAGGAGGGAATCAAAAGTTCAGTTTTGGTTTTTTTACATTTAACTTTGTATAGATGTATCAAAGAGGAGATACAAAGCAAATATAATCTTGAGCTTGCGTGTGAGAAGGAGAAAGATCATACCTAAATCTCAAAAGCCTCATGCTCTCTCCCTCCCTGCCTGCTGCCTGGAATGCTCTTCCTCCATTGGCTTCTTTACCTAACTCCTGTATGCCAGGAAGTTTTCCCAGATCTCTAGTCTGGATTAAGTGACTCTCCTCTTTGCTCACACAGTGCCCTTTTCAAATATTTATCATGGCGTTTGTTACACTACACTCTTGTCTCTTTGTCTCTCCCACTAGACTGAGACCTCTTCTGAAGAGAGACCTTGTACTCCCAGCTAGAGCATGCCACAGTGCCCGGCACAGTGGAAGAGTTCAATAAAAAAAGTAAATAAATGTTTAGTGACGAATAATTAAAATATATTTTATTAGATTTACACCCAGAATGTCAGACTACCTAGATGGTGGTCTTTCTAGGTAAGAAAGAGAAAAGAGAAAGTTTCAGGCAGAAATAAACAAAGGAACACAATGATTAAAACCATTAAATCAATCAATGAAACAGCTGGCTCACCACCATCTGAAGCTGGGCATCATCTCAACCTTTAATGCACAAACAAATCACCTGGGGATCCTATTCCAGGGTAGGTGCCCATTAGGGAGGGTCTGGGGTGTAGCCCCTAGAGTCTGCACTTCCAGCAAGCTCCCAGGTGATGCCAATGCTGCTGGTTCTCTCTTTTAGAGCCTGGTGCTGGACTTCAGTATACTGCCCCCCACCACCCATCCCAGGTCCTGGTTGGGAATTACTATAATTAACAAGAGCTGTGATGACTAACGGGAACCCATAGTACATTGTGAATGTCAATGGTGTGGCGGCCAACACTGGACAACCCCTGCCCTAGAAGAAAGCTTCAGACTATACCACCCACTTTTCAACTCTGCCACTTAAAAAATGGCACAACCTGCAATGTGGGGAGTGGATTCAAATATTCACAGATGGGGCAGGTGTTAGCAATAGAAAATTTTAAAAGACTCTTACATAAAATTCAGGTTTCTCATTCTTATGGTTTCTTATAGCTTCAGCAACTCCAAGATTATAGGCAGCATTTTTCTGATTCTGCTCTCTGGTAGCCAGACTTTTATTCTATTGCAAAGAAAATTTTTTTTAATTTTTAATTACACATTATAGCAGAGCCTTTAAAATTTTTAATTCTATTACATTTAAATAATCCAAGGTAGAAACCTGTCTTTTGGAGGCAATGGTACTTTCTGATGTCTTCATAGATTTATAAAAGTGGGTTGGGGAAAGTTTTTTATTTCCTGTTCTTGGGCTTTAGACAGTATCACACTACAGCGATACTAAGAAGGAATAGAAGATTTCATCACAAATGCATGAAAGGGTAGTAATATTGGAAACCACAGAAATCTGCATAGAGCAATGTAAAGGTGCCATTCTGTCTTTGATTGAGATAGGCCATGAATCTGGAGGGTAAAAGCCTTGACCAGAGTTATATTTTATCAGAAATTAAAAACAAAGCAATATAAATCCAGAAATTTCATCTTTAAAATTCAGTCCACTGAAAACAATCAGTGATATGTGCAAACATTCAACATGTGGATATTCATGACAATGTTATTAATTATAAGTGAAAACTTGGACACAACCTAAGGTTTAGTCCAGCAGTAAATACATGATCAGATATGGTACAGGACAGACGTTTGATGGAACATTTTCAATGGCATTTTATAATCATGTTCTACGGTCCTATATCAAACACCCCTTAATCGAGGTGTTGGACTACCTGGTGTTTGAAGAGAGCCTCCTGGTCTTTCAATATCTGATACTGCATCATGAGTCGCTCATCTTCTATCTCTTTCCTCCTCTTATCCGCACCGTAGTACAACGGGAAATTTCGTTGTGCTCGTTGCAAACACACATAGCACAATTCCTACAATCCCAAATTTCAGGATAAATAAATTTTTACATTTTACCTTTTTGCTTTCACCTTCCCATCACAAACTCTCCAAAGACTAAGGTATCAAGAAACACACTTTATAAAAGGATGTATTAGTGACAATCAGCAAAATGATATTTGCAGAGTGGACCCCACAAATAATCTAAAGGATTTACTGAACTCTCACTTGATCAGAAGTGTTTATAGCAACTGAAAATTAGAAAGGGATTTCCCCATCCTATTTCTGTTAACTAGTAGATAAATTTATCACGGCCCAACTTTTTGTTCTGAGTACTTTAGCCATGCCCATATATTATTTTATAATTAAGAAAGAGAGATTCCCAGAACTCTCTTTGAGAAACAAGTACAAATGAGATTCTGACCGGGCTTTGTTTGAAGACACTGTACCTGTCCTGCCCGACTGTGGCCCTGGCAAGCATGGGCTGAAGATGTTCTGGGCTTCATTTCATTGTCATTTTTCAGACCACCTGGAGATGATATGCTATAAAAAAATGCAACTTTAATTAATGTTTAATACAGTCTGACCAGTAGAGCAATGATAACTTTGAGGCAAGTATAAATACAAGATAAAGAAAAATATCTCAGTGGTTTACTTCAGAACAGTTATATATAGAGAGGTTAAGAACCTGTACTTTGTGTCAGATAAAGCTGGGATTGAACCCCACCTTTGTTTCTTACAAGCTAACTGATGTAAGATAAACTGTGTAATCTTGCAAAATGTCAGCTACCAATTCTGTGAAATGGGTATGAAATGTATTCACGCCACGAGAATGTATTGAGTGCTTACCATGTGCTCTGTCCTAGGCACGGGAAATGCAGTGAAAAACAATACACAATCACACACAAAAAATCCCTGTCCTCATGGAATCAACATTCTTATGGGGATAGACAGCCAATGACAAGATAAATAAGTAAACTCTATATTATGCTCCATGATGATAAGTGCATACATTGCTGGAGAAATGGAGTGTTAAATTGTAAATAGAATGGCCAGGCAAGGTCTCACCAAGGAGGTGACATTTGAGTTAATACCTGAAGAAAATAAGGGAGCTATCTATCATGTAAATATCTGATGAAAAAGACATTCCAGGTGAGCAAAAGAGTGCAAAGACCTTGAGAAGGGAGATGCCTGTGCTCAAGAGTGGTAGAGGCTAGCACTCTGGGAGGCCGAGGAGGGCGGATTGCTCAAGGTCAGGAGTTCAAAACCAGCCTGAGCAAGAGCAAGACCCCGTCTCTACTATAAATAGAAAGAAATTAATTGGCCAACTAATATATATAGAAAAACAAGCCGGGCATGGTGGCACATGCTTGTAGTCCCAGCTACTCGGGAGGCTGAGGCAGTAGGATCGCTTAAGCCCAGGAGTTTGAGGTTGCTGTGAGCTAGGCTGCCTCCACAGCACTCACTCTAGCTTGGGCAACAAAGTGAGACTCTGTCTCAAAAAAAAAAAAAAAAAAAAGAGTGGTAGAGGGAGCTGAGTTAGGGGTGAGAAGTAGGAGAGAGGTTGCAGACCAGGCGAGATCTTGCAAGCCGTGATAAAGACTTTGGCTTTTACCATGAGTGGGTATGGGAAGCCACTGAGAAGTTTGGACAGTGGAGGAGGTCATCTAACTCACATTTTAAAAGGATTATTTTGGCTGCAGTGTTGAAAATAAACTGAACAAGAACAATGACAGGAGTCATTCCAATTCTAATAACTCAAGAGAAAGAGATAGTGGCTTGGACCATGGTGATAGAAGTTGGGGTGATAATAAATGGCTATATTCTAAAGTAGAACTACCATTTGATCCAGGAATCCCACTTACTGGGTATTTACCCAAAGGAAAAAAAGACATTCTATAAAAAAGACACCTGCACTCACATGTTTATAGCAGCATAATTCACAATTGCAAAGATGTGGAAGCAACCCAATTGCCCATCAATACAAGAGTGGATAAATAAAATGTGGTATATGTATACCATGGAGTACTATTCAGCTACAAGAAACAATGATGATATAGCACCTCTTGTATTTTCCTGGATAGAGCTGGAACCCATTCTACTAAGTGAAGTATCTCAAGAATAAAAAAATAAGCACCACATGTACTATCAAATGGTTTTAACTAATCAACACCTAAGTGCACATATAGGAATAACATTCATTGGGCCTTGGGCACGTAGGGGGTGAGAAGGAGATGGGTTATTCACACCTAATGGGTGCGGTGTGCATTATCTGGGAGATGGACATGCTTGAAGCTCTGACTTGGGGAAAGAGAAGGGCAAGGGCAATATACATAACCTAAGCATTTGTACCCCCATAATATGCTGAAATTAAAAAAAAAAAAACACCTCCAAATTGGAGTGAACATGTCAGAGATTCACTAACCACTACATGCCTTCAGCACTAGCCAAATCTACACTTCCCACAGCAGTCCCCATTTTGATTAATGGTGCCACCTTCCCGCCCCCTTACCTAAGCCAAAGTCTGGGGTCATCTTAAACTCCTCCCTCTTCTCAACCCTCCACTTAATTAACTAATCACCAAGCCCTGCCGATTCTACCTCTTAAACAGCCAAATCTAAAGCTTCCTCTGCACCTGATCTTAGTTTCACACATTATCTTTCCCCAGAACAATTGTATTCAATTGTTAAGCAATGAAAGTCCTACCCTCCTTAGTTTAACAAATCTTACTCAAATCCCAATACATAAAACAGAAAAAAAGCACACACAGTCCAGTAGAAGTGAAAGGATAAAGCCCAGAGTCCCAACCACATGGCCTCACTCTCACCCTCTGTGATGGCTCTCAAGGCCCTCTGAGGAGCCCTAGGGTCATTTGCCGGAATCAAATGGCGTAGACTACTGCCTTAATCTCTTCAATTGTGCCAAATCTTTTCATTTTATTATGCCTCTTCCCCTGCGGCACTATCCCTCTAAATCATTCTTTACTCTTTCAAAATGAAAATGTAATCATGTACTGACATCCCCAAACATGGTGTTTGGGGACTTGAACCGGTTGGTATGGACAGGATATATTTTAAACTTCTGTACATCAAATGATGCAGAAAAAAATTTAAAAGAAAAAAAAGAATTGGAAAAATATTTAAAGCACATATATAAGAAAACTATTCATACCTATGGTATATGAAGTTCTCTTTATAAGAAAATACAACCTATTTCTAAGAAAAAGTAAACCTCCCAGTAGAAAAAGGACACAGAATTCAAACAAACAAACAAACAAACAAAAAATTTCAAAAGAACAACAACAAATAGCTAGGAAACATTTTTAAATAAGTATAAAATTACTAGAAATGAAACAAACACAAATTAAAACAATAATGAAATAGCTCATTTCACCTATTAAGACAGAAAGATATCTTAAAGTACAATGTCCAATATTAACAAAGCTGTAGAAAAAACAGCAGTCTCTCATAATACTACTACTGGGAAGATAACTGAGTACAACCTTCCAGAAGATAACTGGCAATGTGCATCAAAGGCGTGAAAACTAGGCTCACCTCTTATCTCTGAAATTAAATTTAAAATTTTTATCCTATGGACTATTCATATATGTGCAAAGAATTATGTGTGATTATATTTGTCACATTATTTCTAATACACAAAAACTAGAAACCATCTAAATAGCCAACAGAAGACTGGTTAAACAAAATGTTTAGTCTTTCATTTATGTAATATGCAGTCATTTGTTAATGTTTTAGAATATTTAAAGCCATGGAGAAATTTTTACTACTTATCATTAAGCATAACAAAGGTTCATATAATATGATCTCAATTTTATTTAAAATGTATGTATGTACCAAGGATATGTGCAGAAGGTCAGAAAAAAAAAGAAAGTAAATATAAAAAAATTTTTTTAAAGTTAAAATAAATAAATAAAATGTATTTTTTTGTGAAGCCTCAGGTTAAGTGCTTTTTTTTTTTTTTTGAGACAGAGTCTCGCTTTCTTGCCTAGGCTAGAGTGAGTGCCGTGGCATCAGCCTAGCTCACAGCAACCTCAAACTCCTGGGCTCAAGCGATCCTCCTGCCTCAGCCTCCCGAGTAGCTGGGACTACAGGCACGAGCCACCATGCCCGGCTGATTTTTATATTATATATATTAGTTGGCCAATTAATTTCTTTCTATTTTTATGGTAGAGACGGGGTCTCGCTCAGGCTGGTTTTGAACTCCTGACCTTGAGCAATCCACCAGTGTCGGCCTCCCAGAGTGCTAGGATTACAGGCGTGAGCCACCGCGCCCGGCATGTGCTTTTTTTTTAGCTTATGTATATTGCTTGTTTTTAGGAAGTTGGTTTGAGCAGGCTGAACCCAGTAAATTTTGGGATAAAACAAAAGGGCAAGCGCATGGGCACAAGGGGCCAACCAATCAATGTAAAGGGCAAGCGTGTGGACAGGTTATGCACCTAGGGTATAAAGGGCTCATTTTACAGTGCGCGGGGTCTTTGTCCCAATAGAGGCCATTGTATTGGTGCTCTGGGACTTAGACCCTAGCTCGAGCTAGTCAATAAAACTCCTTTTGTTGATTTCAGCCTCAGTGACCCTGTCTCTTTGTTCTGTGGTCCTACAGTTTCCCGCTCTAACATTTGGGGGCTTGTCCGGGATCTCGCAGACCTCTGGACAAAATTCAGAATTGAGGGAGGAGTGAATAGAGAGTAGGTTTTCTGGAGTACCCCGAGTAATCAGGCCCAGCAGAAGACCTAGGCAGACGCGCTGGTGGGTCATTGGCTGGAGTCGGAAGGAGACATCCTCCGACCCCGGGAAATCCCTATGGCTGACCTAGGAGCTGGAGGCTCGGTTAGAAGGAAGTCGGGGAGGAAGTCCGGACTAGGCTGGTAATTGTTTGTGTCTTTCATGTCTGTCTGTGTTGTTTAGAATCTTTGGTTGGATGTTCGTGTTGTCCTCTGTCATTAATAACCTTTTTTTTCCCCCTTGAATGGCTCGTAAGAACCAATCACAAGGGAAGCTAAAACAGGATCTGACCAAGGCCAAGTGTTGCTGCCCATTTTTGCGAGAAGCAGCAGCAGTGGGCAGTAGGTAAAAAAGAGACTGCCAGTGACACCCTCGATGGCAGCACCTAATCAGACGAACTAATTTTACTTGTTTTCTTAGATCTTCCAGGTGTACCTTGTGTCCCTCCCCTCTGCAGGCATGGGACAGACCCGGTCAACACCCTTGTCCATCTTGGTACGCCATTAAAGATGTGAGGGCAAGGGCACGTAATCTTTCCCTAGAGGTAAAAAAAAGGAAGTTCATCACCCTTTGCGAGGCAGAGTGGCCGGCCTTTGGGGTGGGATGGCCACAGGAAGGGTCATTCGACACCTCGCTCATTGAAAAGGTACAGGAGGTAGTCTTTGGCCGTCACGGCCATCCAGACCAGATCCCCTATATCATAGTTTGGCAGGATCTGGTCCAGGATCCGCCATCATGGCTAAAGACAATTCTGCCCGCCCCTAAGGAAAAGGCCAAAATTATGGCAACAAAAAGAGCAAA